CCATCTGCATTAAGCAGCTAATCAAAAATCCCCAACAGCTTTTAATTGCATCAGTATTGCATTATTGTCTTCAAATAATGGCATCATCTAATTCCTCTGGCTCATTTTCTAGGGGCCATCCTCTTGTCCTAATATGGCCATAGCTCGCTCCACAAAGTAAAAGACAAAGACACCCATTTAGAAACCAACTGGTTACATAATGACAGTTACATTCACTTCTGTCGGATTGCTCATCCATGAACAGTCCTACACTCTGACAAACTCTAATAAACAAGATGCAAATGATCCCAAACAATTTTCATCATTTTAACCAAGATAGCAGTTTGGATGACTGGTACTCACATGCGCTGAAATATGAAAATACATATAAAGAATATTACCACGTTGCGCGTAAAAAATATTACATTACCTCAGTTAAGAGCTTTTTCATTGAGCTGTTCTCCCCCAGCAGGAAGTAGATCTCATCCTGGCTGTAGACAGATGGCTGACTCTTACTGGGGCTGCTGAAATATTTGGCCATCTGACTCGGGTTGTTCTGATCCTCCTCAAACTGTCGCCACTGGGTCAGCTGCGATAAGGCAGGTTTGATATTTAGGAGTTTTATGCATGTTACACGGATTCCCAGCAACATATAAACCTCTCGGATGAGAATTATATCCTTTCAGAAATATCTCTATGAGGTGTGCTTTAGACCACTGCTCATTGTTGAAGTATTTCCTTCCCTCTCACTGCAGATGCATTCCTTTATGTTAACATAAACCCGTCGTTAGACTCTCAGAGTCGTAAACCTGTTGGCAGCCTACAAAGTTTTGGCTCATTACGAAGACTTCTTTGTGAGTCATCTTCTCCTGACAGACACCGAAACCTCATCCATCAGTACAACAAGCACATGTCAGGTTTATTGGTTTTACCCTAAACCTTCCTATACATACACTGTCATCTGTCCGTCTGTTACAGTTTCTTTTTGTGGGAAGGATTTCCTCATGGCAGATCTTAAAAGAAAAAAACTCCTCATATTTTGGGATTTAAGGAAAAGATAATGAAAGTGTAACCAATATTATAGACAACACGGCTTTATCTCATGTTTTTGTTGAAACTAATTATAATCTAAGCTAATATTTAGTCATTATAGTCAGGGATTTGTTAGGTTTTGTCTCTGACCTGTGGCACAAACAGCATGCAGTTTGTGGCCAGTGTGCAGATGAAGATGGCTCCAGCCGCAGTGCTGCAGACCAGGTTGGGCCAGGCGTGTAGGAAGAAGAACACAGGGAAGGCCACAGCAGAGGAAATGGTGACCAGAGTGACGGCCGTAATGATGGTGGGAGACTGGTTGACTGGAGGATGGCTCACGTTGCTGGTGAGTCCAGCCAGGTATGTGCCATAAAGGAGGAGGCAACCCTTGATAAAGAAGAGCAGAAGTCATTATTTTCACATGCTACTGTTTTTCAAAATTTACTCTTTTGCTATGCTTTTTTTTTTCTGTTCACTTTCATTTTTGTAGTATTTATTTAGATTTAGATTTGAACTATCTGGAATCACAATTTCTTTACATAAGATTTTATTGATCCCATATTGGTGAAATTCACTTAGGGTCAAAATTTTCTTGTGTATTGAATGGGTAAATTCAAAATCCCATCATGGTCATTTTGACGTTCTTTTATGTTGTTGTATGTCAATCACTGGGAACCTGTTTTATGCATTGGTGAGCTTTTCATTGTAAAAATAATGATGCAAAATAGCTGCTAATTCGACAGCGGAAGCTGCATATCTAAAAGAAACATTTTGGAAAATAATTTTACTCAGGGATTTAAGCAACTTTCAAGATAATTAGTTCAGAGCTTTAAAAACGTGTTTTCAGTGCAAAATACCACACCCTATACTTTTGTCAGGTCAGGAAGGTAGCTGCTTATCTAAGTGTGCTAGAGTCAGAGTGAAAATTAGAAAGTATAAAACATCTGGAAGATTCCCACTATGAACAATGAGTAGGACTGTAGTGGGGGCAAAACTTTTCATTTGGAGATTATGCCATAATGTGCAAATTTATGTACATTATTCCCAGAGATACCAGTGACTGTGGAGGAAGCGACATCGACCTTTCCAGCTTAGCTTTGGTCTTGGACATATTCACTTTATTTCTAAATCTCTGCTGGTTTGTTTTCTCTAGACTGAAAAACCAGTTTTGGAAAATAAATTTCATAAAATATGTCACCATCAAAAAACATGTAGTGAGTCAGTGGTGTTGTCACTGTAGAAGCATAAATGAAATTGCTTGAAGCTTACTTTCTGAACAGCAATAATGATGAGCCAAATATTTGAGTATTCTGAGGAGCAAGAGTCCAGCTGTGACAAAGAGTAGGAGGTGTCTCTCTCAGTCGCCTACATGAATAGAAACCAAATATTACATCAAAGTTGACACATCTACACAAAAAATCTATCTTTCGTGCACTCTGTTTTATCAAAAAAAAGCATGTAAAAGAATAAAAAAATTCAGACTCAATCATGACTCAGTAATATATTACATATGATCATCTTCAGAAATCTACCAAACAAATCAGTGCAAAGCTTACTAATTATTCTCACCTTGGCAACAGCTCTGACAGATCGCGAGCATCTCATTGGGTCCGTGAGATTCCAGGTGGTGAGAATCAGAATCTCCAGCAGAATCAGTAGAACTACCATGCCAATCAGCTGGATGTCTCGGATGATCTGAGACGGAAAGAGAAGCGGTGATAAAGATGAACTCTTTACACCTTACAGCTTTACACCATCCACACACCGAAACTTGATCTGGAGAGAAGCCTAAATCAGTAAAAAGAGCTCAGAGTAATTACTCACATAGGCTAATTTAGTAAATACTCCATCTAAATTTGACAGCATTAAATTATTCAGTGCAATGTGCAGCCATGCATTACTGTTGTCAGGTTGAATTACTCAAAACTACTTCATTAATTACTAAAGAAACAAAATATGTGAACGTCTGTTAAAATGGTTTATGTGACGCAGAGTTTTTATGTGGAATACATGCTGAACAGGGCAACTGAAAACTAAACCCGTAAGGGAAAAAACTTATATGTTTTTTCCCTTATATAGGAGCTTATATGTTTTTTCATATATATATATATATATATATATATATATATATATATATATATATATATATATATATATATATATATATATATATATATATATATATATATATATATATATATATAAATATAAAGGAAGCTGTGAGAATCAGGTTGCATAAGTCCTTCTCGGTATAAGTTTATTACCGTCCAACGTCTTGATTTGACAATATTTCTTTGTAATAGTATTTCTTGTAAATTTCCATCAGACTGTAAAGGCATCCCTCTTCAAGTGAGCAGCATACTTTGTTCAGGATGCTATTGGACTTTCCAAAATGTAAATTTTTCTAACATGCCAGCCTTTTGTTTATTTGTATGTTTGATTGCCCTTTTTGTGATGCTGAAATTTGAAACCCAGAATCAGTTTAGGGGTGTGGATGGATTGGGATCTCATCTGCAGTCATGGGGAAATCTACTGCTCTGATCTTTTGCAGTGAACAAAGAGCTCAGCCAGTGTCTGACCCCTAACTCTGGTCGTAAGATCATAGATCATGACTCAGCTTGGATGATAGAGAGTCATTTGAGGAGGTTCAAGTATCTGAGTAGGATGCTGCCTCAGCTTCTCCCTTTGACAATGTTTTAGGCACTGCCTCCTGGGAGAAGAGCCCATGGGAGAATCAGTACTATATGAGGGACTACATATCGCTTTCTGGCATGGGGATGCCCAGGGATCTACTACAACGAGCTGGAGAGTATTGCTGGGGAGACGAATCTCTGGCTCTCTCCTCTAACAAGCAAAAGCCTAAGAATGGATGGATACAATTTTGTTTAAATGGATTTGTTCAGAATATATTTCATATTAAGGGAAATAATTTGAAGTAAATTATCAGTACATTTTTTTGTTTAAATCACACAAATCTGGGATTTTACTTTTTGAATATGGGAATGCAGTGTTTTCAATAAGGACCGCGGATAAGAGCCAAAAGGCTGCATTTTTTATAACCACTTTGCATCTGAGATTACATACTAAGACAGTCAATTTCTATATTAAATTACTTTGAGATTTGTGTTATTGTAACAGTACGTTCTCAATTCAAACTACAGTGATATACAAAAGAAGAAGACAAGAATGTGCATGTCAACGAGATGAGCACAAGGAAACCAGAAGAGCCTGCCTACCACTCTCTTGTCGGGAACTCGCTGAGTGAAAACTCTGTAAAGCCTCCAGGTCTTTCCCAAAATTGGCCCAAAGACCAGGGTGCTCCCAATGCAAAGCGTCCACATCCGAGCCTGGAGGAGGGAAAACCACAAGGATCACCTTAAAATTGATCTCCAACAGTATAAAACTGCAGCTACAAGGATTTCGATACTTACCTGAAGCAAAGTAATAGACACATCAGCTCGTGAATGAGCTCGCTCATCGATTGCAAAAAGAAAGCCGCTAATATATGTGAGGACACTTCCAAAGAGAGTCAGAACATTTAGGTTGGGACTGGACATCTTCACTATCCTGATGAAACAGCACAAGCAGACTCCTTTAGCATGCCAGTAGACAGTAGTTTGATGAATTTGTAGTTAAATGCTGGAATTTAACTACAAATAATTTCGTGGATGGTATCAACCCCTCCACAAAATTATTAAAACACTTTTCACTCTACCTGTTGTTTTTGAATCGCAGGGTGAAAACCAGAAAGCAGAACGCCAACAGGATGCCAGACGATAGCATCGTCCAGACAATCGCTCTGAGCGCAGGAGAGAGGGATCGCCTGGGGACCTCTGCTGCCAACTACACACACAGACATGAACATTTATTCCCCCATACAGTTCCAGCCCCTTCTGGGTATCTCTACGGAAAAGATAATTAATCCTACAAGTACTCCAGAGTCTAGGCTCCTTCAAATTCCAGATGTAAAAATTAAAACCAAGCACAAATTTATAAGGTAGAATTTTATTGCAGGGAAAAAGGCATCAAGCATTGCAAAACAGATGTGGAACTATTACTTTAACTTTAATCAGTAATAACGTTTGCTGAAACATCTGAAAGCATCATAAAAGATAGTACATAGTGAAAATTTAGATATTCAAAGGCAGAATAAGGAGAGGTGCTGAGTTGACCCCATTGTGATTCCTTCGCGGGTTGAAGTAGGGGAAAAGTCTGCCGCTGAAAGTGTATCCGGTGTACGTGTAGATATGAGAGTGAGAGTCCGGGTTGTAAAATGAAACCTGCCCCGCTTCCATGTCCACGTACACCAGGACTGTCTGGGGCTTTTCCACCAGCGGCAGTCTAACAGGAGGACTGCTGAGGGCCCAGTAACTCTCATCCTCCCTCATTCCCAGAGTCCAGTAGCCCCTTTCAGGGTTCAGCAGATTCCCTCCTTTTCTATTGACCGACTCGAGTCCCACTCCAATGTCCCACTCTGTCTTCCCTTTCACCTGAACTTCATAGGAGAACCTCCCGTAGCAGAAGCCCTCCTTCCCCAAGACACTAACACAAGGGTAAAATCTTGCTGGATTGTCAGGGAGGTTCACAGCCACATCGCCGTGATAGACCTGCTTCCGGTTTTCTGAAAGAACGAGTTTGGGGTGAGCTGTGTCTGGATCCAGCGTCACATCCACAGCGTAGGCTTTTACTCGCTTAAATTCAATCTTGCAAAGCCTCTTTACCTCTGCCTTGATGGTTTCCTCAAGCTCTGATGCTGCTCTCCTGAGTGCCCTTCTCAACGTTCCCACATAGACTGCACTTTCTACCCTAATCTCAGACCAGTCTTTGATGGGCAGCTCACTGGAGAAAGCCGGGAAGCTCTGGAGAAGGTAGAGATCATCGTTTGTCTGTGAGAGCAGCTCCAAATCAGTGGTCCTGTTTGACAGCTGATTAATCTCTTGCTCAAGATCCAATGTAATCTTACCAGCCCTGCTTTCAACACACTTCTGCTTTGCTAAGATAGCCTCGGCCACTTCAGCTTGGACTGTCTTAACTACTTGAAGCAGTTTGTTGAAGACCAGAAAACTCTCTTCAACCTCTTTTTCAGCGTTTCTTTTGCTAAACTCAACAGCTTGACCGATCTCACATGTTTTCTGTAGCCTACTGTGGATGCCTTCTTGCATTTCCACGTTCATATTTCTGATCTGATCTCTCCTGTCTTGGCTTTCATGCTTTATAGAAGCCATACGATGTGCCTTGTGGTCATCCTCAACACAGACCTGGCACAAGTACATCTGATCTGTGTGGCAGAACAGGTTGAGGAGGCTCTCGTGTTTCTTACACAATCTGTCTCGCATGTTCATAATTGGGTTGATTAGGGTGTGATTCTTGAGGGTGCCTAGAACGTGATGGGGCTCCAGATGTGTCTGGCAAAATGAAGCCAAACAGTCCAGACAGGTTTTAAAAGCTTTCACCCGTTTTCCAACACACACATCACAAGCAACTTCCCCCTTATCGCCTGACTTGTCCATACTTCTGAGCCCGTCTTTGTACTTCATTTCCCCATGGTCTTTAAATTGAGCAGCCACCTCAGATATGAAGGTGTTGACTTTGAGGTCAGGCCTGTTGTACAGCTTGTTTTTACACATGGGACACTGGGGCAGATTGGTACTCTGCCAGTATCTCTGGATGCAGTCACGACAGAAGTTGTGCCCACACGGAGTGGAGACTGGCTGGTTAAACACATCCAGACAGATGGGGCAAAGGAGCTGCTCCTTGGACAGAATGCTGGCGGCTGTAGCCATATCTGGGAACACATCCAGAAAGAAGAAGAAAACAGGTGGGATTTTATGGAATACATTGCCTCAGCTTCTTTTATTTTTGGCTTTCCACTGTTTTACAAGGCATGAAAATACTTGTGTCCTCGTTAGCCATGAACAGTAACAAATACACAGTGTTATGTTTCATCACACTGTATCACATGCTATCAGGGTCGTTTTTATGTTAGCCAGGATCAGCTAGCAATACCAGTGAGGCATTTCATGGAGAGTGCAATAAAAAACTAAAACAGAACATTTGCTGCATTTAGATGATGCATTCACACAACAAAGCTCACACAAAATTTGGTTCAAACTGTTGACTTACTTTAAGGTAATTAATTGTACAAGTTAACATCATGAAGCATGCAAAGATTTCTAAGATATAGCTCACCTTGCTGTTTTTGGTCCTTTGAAGAGAGAAAGACTTGATTGTGTTCTTTGTCAAAGTGTTTCTGCTGCTGTATCTTTTATTTCAGAAGTCTGTTTACAGTATCATCCGTCCGGCTTCTGCTGTTGGTCTGTCCTCCCTCTTCTCTTAAAGGTATTGGGGACAGAGGCTATTCTAAACATAGCTGCAGTCCATGCCCATTACCTTTCCCGATTTCAGCTGTCTGGTACCATAGTTCAAACAAGCAAAGCCGGTGCATTTAAAGGAAATATGGTGAGGCATAAAGTTACTAGGACTGCATTTATATAAAATATAACCTATGTTTGACCCTATCTTTAGCATAGGCAGAGTCAAGCAGTTGTCATGTAGTCTCGTGACCTAATAATGCAGTGTCTTGTTGCAGTTCTCCAGCAGTAAGCTATGGAGATTTAAATTTTTTTTATACCTCCCTTTTGTTGCTCAATGCGTCCTTGAACTCTAAGAATAATCCGACCCACCATTTGTAAAAACTCAAAACAGTGACTCAGCATATCTGACATTTTTAAGGCCAGTAGGAGGTTGGGCAGAATGTTCAGCATAGCTTCTATTTCCTCCATTTTTGTCACATACAAATTATGCCAAGCTACTTTTCTTACTTTGGGGCAGCCCAACTATTTGTGCACAACCCGCTAGAGCTGTTCCTCGATTGTAATGGGAACCAACTGTAGATTTGAGCCGAGTCAAGGTGATAGTGGAAAAGAAACATGTCTTTTCTAGTTTATAGATTTGCATGGAGAACTGGGTTTTGGTACTGCATCCTATTTTATTTGGTTTTCCCTCCAAATACATGATTTAAAAAATGCCAAATAAATTTTTGTGCAATCTCCATTACAGAATCATACTGCCACCATAAAAGATTACTTTATTTTATGCCTTTTCACACATCATTACCAGGATGCCAGTTGTTGATGGCTCTATGCATACCAGTATTATGTAGCTATTTACATAATACTACGCTACGCTGTGAAATTGCGATTAAAACATTTCCAAAATTCTTATCAGTTTTTGTTTGTTCCACTGTTTATCATTGTTGATTGACACGCAGAATAGTTGCCATGATAACTAGAGAAATTGGAGACATTTCCAAGTTATGTGTAATCATCTAAAACAATAAAACAGTGTCTGAAAACAAATATGTAACAATAAATCTTTACAACACAGCCACAAGCCTGGAAATCTGGCATTCTGAGTTGTGTCAAGTTACAAACACAGGACCCAAAGGGTGTCAGTTGTGGGAATAAAAATTAGTGCCAAGTGCGTCAAGTGGATTATGATGTGCGTAAAAATATGCATGCGCCTGGCACTTAAACATACGGCAGTGTCAAACAACTAATTCACCTGAAGTAGTTATCTAAGATACAGTGCCCAAAGTTATTTATTTGTATGCCTGATTTTTTTTCTTTTTTAAATTTAAAATGAATCAATCTTTTAATTGTCCTCACACTAACACTGACAATTTTAGCAACGCTAGCGTGCATTCATATTCATCAGTCAAGACATAGTGACAACAATAAATCTTTGGAAATTATAATGAGAAAACGGCAGCATCCATCTCCACTACAACCATTGGAAATATCCAGAGTTTTAAATAGAAATCTGTAGAATTGTCCTCACAAATGGAAAACAGATCATCATTGGGTCTTTGAAACACATTGAACGGTTGTCAACTACAGTCTCAGCACCAAGCTGAAAACTCAAATTGTGTGCATACATATGCTGTGTAAATAAATTGAGAACAGAGAGACAGTAGAAGATGTAGGTCAAGAGAAAGATTACCGAGTTTAGGATGCATAGTCTCCGTAGGATGTCCTGGCCTTCCTGCCTGCTGAGTCCAGCCTGGATGAGGCAAAGTGGGGAATCACACACAGAGCTGCAGTTCAGCTCAGGCTCCATGACCGGCCCCAGTCCGTCCACCATCACAAACACATTCTGTGGGAGAATCAAACAAAGCAGCTCATCAGGTCACTCTAGGAAATAAACAATGCACCTTGTAACTGGTGCACAAGAAACAAAGCAGTAATTGCACTTGACATTTTTAAATGATGTTTGGTGCTTCAGTTGTTCAGTTTCATTTAAATTATGTTACTTGAGTTGCAATCACATAAGAATATACCACAAAGGATTAGTTGCAAGACCGAGGTGCACCACAGTGTGGTGCTATGACAAAAACAAGGAGGAGTGGGGGGAAGCGGGTAATTTTTACATTGCGCTGGTGGTAGAAAACAAGCTCAGATAAACAGAGAAGCCTTTGAGTTTCTGTTTGTCCTCATGGTTTCACTCTGTCATCATAGAAATGACCTGTTATACAGTCAGCTTTTAATTATGTCGACATATTCTGCAGTCAGCTCAGCTGTTTAGTTGGAGCGTCTGAGACTGACTTTACAGGAAGAAAAATTGTCAGTGCTGCCACGGGCGTTTTGGGGCTTTTTTATGAGGCTTCACTTAGTTTGCTCTGACATGCTGGAGATTGGAAAATGAGGCACATCTGATACTTTGAGCTGAACCTAGGCTTGTGGATGATGATTGTAATTGCAGATGTGACTCAGCCGCATGATGCCAGGGCGGGTTAAAATTGCTTTTATTGATACATATTGGCAGACAGGTGTGTGTGTGTGTGTGTGTTTATGTGAGCAGGGTGAAATCAGACACAGCACGTCTCATCCACATCTGTGGAATGACTAACTGCCAGAATGGCCTCGGATGTGCTGAGTAATTGGACAGTCAGAAAAACGCAGAATAAAATATTCAAAATGAAAAGATCCGACGTGAGAGAAGTTGTCTACTCGTTTGGGAAATGTCTGAAGTTCCTGCTCCTGTCCTGTCGTCACTTTCCAAGTATAGATCACAGCCCAGCTTCTTCCTGCAGGAAAAGCCAGTGGAGTAAGGCATTTCCTCCAGCTTTTCAAACCCTCTGCCTGAAACGCTGTTGTTTTCGGCTTGGAAAAGAGCCCACCACTGTACAGGTGTCAGCGAAGATCTACCCAACATCCAACTTTGGGTGTGGGACGGCAGAAGGGGGTCAGTGTGTGCGCAGAGCAAACAGTCTGTCTTCAAACTATCTTCCGTTTTTCTGGACATGTTTTGACAGTTCACAGAAGTCATGAGGAGTGTCTTCTAAAGTCCTGAAGGCTAAACCGCAAGTAATACCTGAGCTACCTGTGTGAGTGTGTGTGTGCGTGGGATGGGCCTATATCCTGTGTGAAGTTTAGCTTGCACCCAGCTACTTCATCGTTAAAGTAACGACTTATTGCGAAGGGTATAAAAGAGAAATAGTCTCATATTTTGGAGGTAGAAAACGCACAACTCTTAAACACATGGAGCAAAACTAAATCACTAACGGTCTAGGAATTGATTTTTCAAGTAGATCATTTTAAAATGCTTCTCGCACAGAAAAGCCTTTCCAGTGATGCCCTCAAAAGCAGATGTGCTATTCTTTAATTGACAGTGCCGTAGAGTATGTCACCCAATTGTTTCTCATGATAATCATGACACAAATAGTTTTTTTCAACAACAACAAAAAATAAAAAAATGCCTCTTAGTGGGAAAAATTTAAACGGTTGTGTAGCGGCTCATTGGCAACACATAAAGTATCCAGTTATCAAATTTTCTATGAAGACAATTGGATTTTTGTGGAAGTAAAGAGATGAAAAGGAAAGACTTCCCCTCACTCAACCAAAGATGGTCTCTATGTCATAGGAGTATTAATTGATTTCGATTTGATTTTAAGGAAAGCAACAATTTAAACCGGAGGGACACAAACACAACATAGTTCAGATGCCAACAGCAAAAGCAGGGACTAAACAGTTAGACCACAAAGGAGACTGTAGTTATTGTAAGAAAAGTTTTTTTTTTATTTCATGAAAAGAAAATGCCTTCTTTTCAAGAAAAAGTGTTTTCTTGACCTAGCTGAAACCTCAAAAGTAAATTATGGACTAATTATATGGGCGAAAGTGTCACTTAAACAACTGACACCTTGCAGCATCTCGGCCTGAGGATTTTCTGTATAGAGTTCGCATGTTTGCTTTGTGAGACCGGTCCAGAGTGTACGGCGACTCTTGCATAATGACTGCTAGAGATAAGCACCCGTTGCATTGCAACCCACCAAAAATAAATGACGGTGGACAATGGATGACTGGGGACGACTAGTTAGAGAAATGGAACTGTTGGTGGGAGCCAAAGCTGAAACTGTGTCGACTTGATCGCTGCATTGTATTGTGTCCTGAAAATGTGTTTCTAAATCCAAGGGCGGGATGCTGGTTTGTTAGATCTCCACGTTGTAGCGCTGGGACAACATTACTCCTGATTTCCTGACTGGATAGATCTGTGCGTAAATGTCCATTTATGAACTTGAATTCAAGCTGGGGATTTTGCTATCATTGCTTAGTTCTTACGCGGCCACGCTACGCGCTAAGTTTCATATTTCAAATGTAATTTCATCAATGTTCAGAAACCTTTTACATAGTCTCAAAAATAGGAAAAATAAAAGAAGAAGAAAATAAAAAAAAAGAACTTAAACTACCGGTACAATCCAAATTGAAAAAGAAAAGTAAAACTGATGGCATGTGCCCTTACAAGCTTTCCTACCAGGACGCAGGAAGTTTCTTAAAAGTTAATTTAAAAAAATAGGAATGAGGAAATTTATTATCCGATCAAACATAAAGAAAAGATTAGAGCTGCAACTACCAGGTTTAGGCCCGATTCAGGGGACAAAATTGAAGCATTCTTTCTGAGTCAGTAATCCGTTTATAAGTTTATTCTTTAATCTGAGTTAGAATGCAATTACAGGCAGCCACAAAAGGGATCTTTGGATCCGGCGCACACCACAAGCAAAGGATATTAAAGTGTGTTTTAAGCAACTACTCATTTGTCGTAAATTCGCCTGAATATGTGTCACACATGCAGTCTGCGCGGCGGCGTCGGGGCCGAATGAGACTTCAAGGAATGCAAACTGTATGGATTAATTAAAACATCTCCCAGAAAAGAAAAGAAAAGAAATGAATCCATTTTAATTGTATTCGAATGGATTCATCCGGAACCTGTGTTTGCTTTCTTTTTTTTTTTTTTTTCCTCTTCTTCTTTTGGTTGAAAGAAATCTTTACGCACC